CAAAATAAAAAAATATTGTTTTTTAATAAAACTGATTTTATATATATATTTTTTAAATCACTTAATTCGACGCTAATTTAGTATCGAATTAGCATCGATATCGACATTTGTCGACGCGAATTCGATGCTAAATTAGCATCGAAACGTTGCCTCGAACAAATGCCGACGTAAGTTCGATGCTAAATTAGCATCGAATTAGCGTCGACTTTGTTATAGCGTCGAATTAGGATTAGCGTCGAAATGTATTTCGATGCTAATTCGACGCTATGAGGCATTAGCGTCGAATTAGCATCGAATTATGTCGATACTAAAACTGTGTTTTCTTGTAGTGAAAATATCTTGAATTAACTATTACTTGTCAAAAATAAAATAATATATGATACCAAGTTCTCAGGCGAATAGCGCAAGACAACCACCTAGAAGTAAATGTTTCTTTCTTACTTTGTATGATTGTTGTTTAGTCCAAGTTCGTTGGTATCAAGTTTCTTGGCTATAAAAATTGGAAAAGAAAGTGTAATTAATCTTGCACGTTTTCAAATCAATATTTAATAGTTACTTTTCCGAAAAAAACTTGTGTATATAAATTTGAATTTCTTAAACTTGTATGTTTCAAAATTTTGTTAAAAATATATATGAATTTCAAATAGACTGAACATCTAAATTGATAAGTTTATATGTAATTTTTTTAAAAAAGAAAATTATTAAATTAATTTAGTTAATCCGATTACAGTAAATTACTTGAATGTAAATTTTGTGAAAGACCAAGTCTCATCCTAATTTGCTAAATTTAGTTTTAACTCAGACAATTTCGTTCAAATGTTGTTTCATTATTCCTCCAAAAGTTCCTAACTAAAAGCATAACCTCAACTTCTTTGTTGCTCACTCAAATATTTATATAATTTGATATTCCTCGGCCGAAAAAAGAAGAAGAGATTTTGAACATCTTAAACAAACACACATTCATCGAAAATATAATGGCTGATGCAGCAGAGAAAGCTGACCATGACCGTATTTTCAAGAAATTTGATGCTAACGGCGATGGAAAAATTTCAGCAGCAGAACTTGAGGAAGCTCTTAAGACACTTGGTTCGGTGACGCACGACGACGTCAGCCGTATGATGGCTGAAATTGATACTGATGGCGATGGAAACATATCATATCAAGAATTTACCGATTTTGCAGGTGCCAATCGTGGACTTATGAAGGATGTTGCCAAGATTTTCTAAAATGTTTTATTCATCGTTTTATATTTTATATTGAGGGATTTGGCCTCATCAATTTTATCTGTTTGTTATTAATACTTTTTTTTTAATGAAAAACGACGGACAAATTTATTTTATATCTTCAAGATTTTCGATCATTCTTAAACATATATGATTCAAATGATAGTAGGTGAATCAATCAAATTTTTTTTTTTTTTATCAAATGATAGATTCATTCATATTATCATGACGTTACAAGTAGAAACCTTAATGCTTGTTTAGCAAGGCCATCAGCCAATGCGTTACATTTTCTGCTAGTACAAACGAAAGAAACTATTTCAAAGCTTTGGGCTCGAATCTCATTTCCTTAAAACCCTTTTCCGCTGCGTTTGATACAGCTTCGCTTAGCGCTAGAGCCTCGGCCATGAGCCAGGAGCTCACATGTTGTTCTGTTTTGCTCTATTCTAGGTTGCGGGTTTCGTATATTTTGACGACTCATCCGAGCCCAGCTGCTTTGTTTTCCGAGCTCCAAGCAGCATCGGTTTGACACACCAATATATCATCCGTTGTTTTGTTGGTTGAAGGGGTCTTTCTTCGGTTTGGTTGCGTTGGTTGTTGTTGTGCCTCAATCCACTCCCTTGCCGATGAGATAGCTGTTGTGAGTGCTTCCTCTGATGTAATTCTCTTGTCTTCGAAGACAAGTTTGTTTCTGCAAAGCCATAGAGACCACAATATCCATGGTGCGAGAGGTCCCGTAGTTATTTTATTTTTGAGTAAAGTCCATGCTTGTTCATATTCATTCCGTTCTCCAGATTCCAAACAGCCAACAAAAGGAGTTGTTCTCCACACTCGTTGGGAGAAAGCACATGAATCAATCAAACTGAAAAAAACTAAACATGAAATCACATTTGAAACAGATTAAAAATTGATATTAAGTGTTTGATTGGTAACACAATTTGTACAACTGATAACCATTTTAGATTGTATCATTCATAAATCGATACTAAAAACTTTATCAAAAGCTTACACTCAGTTTATTTGTACAATTTATTCTTACAATTACTTCTTACAGTTTTGCACTATGCTGCATATTGGAGTATATGTTTTTTTTTTGGGCAACCATCGACGACCACATTGGAGTATATGTTAATTCCAGTTTATTGTATATATTGGTTTAGTAGATTATATTGGTTAGATGTCGGTTAGATATACATATCAGTATATAAGCTGAATTGTACAGTGTATTATCTTATTCTTTTAATGAGAAATATCTTCAACAACAACAATTTTTTCTCTCGGTTTTTCATGGTTTCTAAT